TGGACATAAGGAAGAATTTCTTTACTGTCCGAGCCCCCAAGGTCTGGAACAGCCTGCCATTGGAGGTGGTTCAAGCTCCTACAATGAACACCTTCAAGAGCAAATTGGATGTTTATCTTGCTGGGATCCTATGACGCCAGCTGACTTCCTGCCCTTTGGGCAGGGGGCTGGACTCAGTTATCTTCCGAGGTCCCTTCCAGCCCTAATGTCTATGAAATCTATGAAATCTATGAAACTTGCTTCAAAAGTTGGACATCCAGATGACATGCTCAGCCCAACAAAGTTGGTGTCAGATGATCATTGCCTCAGTACTCCTGGTATTTGCTTGCAGGAGGATACAAATGTTGGTGTGTCTATCTTCCTGCTGGATTCAGAGGATTTTCCACAGGTAATGTTGATGGTACTTCTCTAACAACTTTAGATAGCTCCTGTATGTTGTCCATGTCTCAGCTCTGTACCGCAAGGTTGAGAGCATGCCTACCCGATAAACCATGAGCTTGGTTTCTGATGTGGTGCTGTGATCTTCAAACACCCGTTTCTTCAGGCATCTGAAGACTGCACTTGCACATCTGAGGTGATGTTGAATTTCTTATAACTAGTAAGCAGCAGGCTGATAACAGTTGCCTGGCACTTACAGGTGGATATGGCAACATAAAGTTAGGCAGTGCAATATATATTTCCCTCCCAGTGGTTGGCCTCAGAAGCTACCACTCTCTCATGAACAGACTTAAGGCAGCATATGACCTCCTTTAGTACCAGTAGCTTGTACCTTGGGTACCAGAAGTTCGGGGTTCATTCACTGATGACAACTAAATGACCACAATGAGTCCGTAGAACTAATATGTTAACCAATAACCATCCGATACATTTGATATCAAATCCTTATGTATTTGTCCAGATCCTGGAGTCAGCCATTCATCTTTCTTAGAAGATAAAAAGCAGTTAATGTAGTCTTCTTGTCTGTCAGAGGAAAATTCAAATCCAACATCCTATCTGCTTTGAAATCTGCTTTGTACTGTAACAGTACCAAGAGGCAACAGTCAAGATCAAGGCCCCCATTGTGCTAGGTGCTGTCCATGAAAACACAGACCCAATCCAGAAGACCCCTCAGCCTTGGGCTGTGATTGTACCAGCATTTGCTTAACTCTGCTGAATAAGCAGATCAACAAGAGTGCTCGTGGTAGTAAAGTTAAGCAAATGCAGAAGTATTTGCTGGGCTGGATCTTTGTACATTAAAGAATCCAAAGAAATGTGGTAGTTATTATTATTGTTGTTAACAATAGGTTCAACAAGGACAATGCAAAGTCCTGCACTTAGCATGAACAATCCCATGTACTGGTGTGGGCTGGGGGCTGACTGGATAGGCAGCAGCTCTGCAGAACAGGGTTACAGTGGACAATAAGCTGAATATGAGGAAGGAGTGTATGTACCCCTGTTGCCAAGAAGACTAATGGCATACTGGGCCATTGGTAGCAGTGTTGCCAGTAGGTCAAGGGAAGGGATTATTCAGCACTGGTGAGGCCACATCTGGAGTTCAGTTTTGACCCCCACTATAGAAAGGATGCGGGCAAATTGGAGAGAGTCCAGCAGAGGGCAACAAAATGGTGAGGGGGGTGGGGGACATGGCTTATGAGGAAAGACTGAGGGAACTGGGTGTACTTAGTGTACTCTAGAGAAGAGGAGACTGTGAGGGGATTTAATAGCAGCCTTCAATTACCTGAAGGGGGGTTGGAAAGAGGATGGAGCAGGACTGTTCTCAGTGGTGGCAGATGACAGGACAAGGAGCTAGGGGTTGGACTAGATGTGAGCCCATGAGGTCCCTTCCAACCCCAATGTTTTACGATTCTGTGATTCTCTAACAATAGTAACAACGATACTACTACTACTACTACTAAACATGCTTTGTATTTGTTGCACAGCATCCTTCGTGAAAGGAGCTCAAACTATGGTAGGAGCACTCATTAAATTAACCTTGCAGCAGCCACTTGAAGTAGGTACTGTCTGGAGAAAGTGAAGTGACACAGTTTGTGTCAGGTCGCACCATATTCAGGCACAGTCAGGAATGGAGACGAGGGGTCCTGGCTCCATCGTTGCCTGCCTCGAGCCCTGAGCCCTCTCCCCGTCAAAATCTCCATCTGTCCAGCTCAGCAGCGCAGAGGGGTGTGCTGCTCGCCACGGCGCCCCGGCAGCTCCGCGAGACGGCTTCAGGTGCCCCTGGCGGGTCGCCTTGGGGGGCTGGTTTCGGTCAGGCACTGGGGGCTTCGGGATGGGCCTGTGAAACGCTCCCCTGAGCGTGGCCTGGGGCAGCTGTGGCGGGTGTGGGCCGCTTCGGCTCCTTCAATAGCACTTGGGGGCAGGGCTGACGTGTTGGGGTAATTCTGCACCCTGGTTTCAAGGGGGTGAGAGCAGGGGGTTAAACCCACCCCTGCCGCTGGGCCGCAGTCCTGTCGCCTCCCTCGGGGGGAACGCGGAGCCTGATGCGTGTGTGTGTCTGTGCTTGTGTGTCTACATGTCTGTTTGTGTGCGCGACTGCTTGTGTGCGCGCGCGCATCTGTGAGCGTGTGCTTGTGCTTGTGTGCGCCTGCTTGTGTATGTGTATATGCGTGTGTGCGCACGTGTCCGCGCTTGCCCGTGTGTGCGCGCACGCGGGTGTGTCCCAGCCCGTGGGAGGGCGGGGGCCCGGCCCCGGGCGCGGATTGGCTGCGCGACCCGTCAGTCGCGCTGGCCCCGCCCCGCGTGTGTGACGGCGCGTGTGCGTGTGTAACGGCGGCTG